CTCCTATGGGTGGCGGTAGCTGACTGGTTGCCATACCCCGTCTTGTTGGGGAGGGATTGGCCGGGATTTCGCCAGCTCTTACAGGAAAAAAATGAAACCCCTGGGGGACGAAGCAAGTCAGTCTGGGTGGCCCAGAAGGAAGAAAGCTCCAGCCGATCACCGCCTGGCAGCAGAGAGACCGAGCGGCAAGGGCCCCCCCACGGCGCTGGAGCCAGACATGGGGGACTTTATGGTACTACAACGGGAGGATCCGACGCTCCAGCATGCGTGGGAGAACGCCCGGGTAACGACGGGGGAAGGGGATGGGGAGAACAGGCCACCCGAACAAGGACCGTACTTTGAAGTCCAGGGTGGCAGACTATACCGGGTCCAGAGGGGGAATGAACAACAAGGGGAAGAGGTCCAATTGGTCGTGCCTAAGGCCTACCAGTGGAGGATGATGGAGTTGGCGCATGAAAACCCTTGGGCAGGGCACCTAGGCGTGGAGAAGACCCAACAACGGGTATTACAACGGTTCTATTGGCCGGGGATATACCAGGACATCAAGAACTTTTGTGCCTCCTGCCCCCAGTGCCAACTAACTTCGGGGGGGAGGGTGCCCCGGGCCGCCTTGGTGCCCCTTCCGCTGGTTGAGGAGCCCTTCGAGTGGGTGGGGTTAGACCTCGTGGGGCCCCTAGAGCGGACACGAAGATGGCACCAGTACATCCTGGTAGTGGTGGACTACACCACACGTTACCCTGACGCAGTGCCCCTCCGTAAGACCACAGCCTCTGCGATAGCCGATGAATTAATGAAAATGTTTGCCCGAGTCGGTCTCCCGAAAGAGATTTTAACCGACCAAGGCCCGAACCTGGTATCACGGTTGATGGTCGAACTGTGCCAGTGGCTACGGATCAAGAAGATACGGCCCTCAGTATACCACCCGCAGACAGACGGGTTAGTGGAAAGATTTAATCAAACTTTGAAGGCGATGTTACGGAGGTTAGTACAAGACGATCCTTGGGGCCCCGGGGCCGGGCGCACCGGGACGGAGAGAGGATTGAGCCCACCACCGGCAGGGTCGTTAGGCCCAGGGAGGGTCGCGGAGCCCGTGAGCAGGCAAGTTTAGGGGCAAACCCCCACCTGCTTCCACCGGGAGTTGAGCTCCTGGTGTTAGTGCCCGGGGCCGGGGTCCGGGAGTGAGGGAGGGCCCGGACCCCACCCTGCCGGCGGCAGTCATCGCAGCGCCCTGAATCACTTCAGAGCAGCACTGACTAGACCCACGTGGGCTAGGCGTGACACAGGTGGAGAACGTGGGCATTGTCCCATGCCCTGTAGTAAGGGCAGGGAAAGGAGATATTTTAGTGGTAGTATTTGTCGCCTAGGACCGAGGTATCCTGGAAGTGAATAAGTTACTCAAGTGGCTGGTGGAGAACCAGCGACAGCTGCAGCAGCAGCAGACTGAGGTGCTGCAACAGATCTCCGCTGAATTTCAGAAGCAACAGCGCCAGCTGCTACATGAACTAAAGGAGGGAGGCGCCTCCAGTGCAGAGACCCAAGGTCAAGATACGGGTCCCCGAGGGGGAGACGAGGAAAGGACAGTGAGTGCCCGCCTCCCAATTAGACTGGCCAAGTTAGGGCTGGAGGACAATGCCGAAGCCTTCTTAGTGACCTTTGAACGGGTGGCGACGGCCGCGCGATGGCCCCAGGAACACTGGGCCACGATACTGGCCCCCCACCTTTCGGGCTCAGCACAGCTGGCCTACCGTAGCATGTCAGACCGCGATGCTCTATGCTACTATAAGGTGAAGGAAGCAATATTAGACCAACTGGGTATTCCCCCAAAACGTACAGACAAAAATTCCGGGCTTCCAAGTATGGGACGGGGGAGCACCCCAGGGCAGTAGCCCAGCGAGTCAAGGAGGCCGGTATGCGGTGGTTGGAACCGTCCACTAAGACGGCATCCCAGGTAACCGACCTGGTGATCTTAGAGCAGTACCTACAGGTGCTGCCTTCCGAGGGCCAGCAGTGGGTACGCTGCCACCTCCCCGGGACCCTCGAGGAAGCGGTCACGTTAATGGAGCATTTTATGGCTGCAGAAAATGCTGAGGAGAAGGGGAAGCCGGGGATAGGGGCCGGTTCATCTGGGCGAGATGGCCCGACTACACGAGGAAGAGAGACCCGGGTAGAAGGGGGTTAGGCCCAAAGATTGCTCCCAGCCAAGAGATGGACTGGAGGCTAGCCCCCGTATGGCACGTCGCAGAAGGGAAGAATGGGGAAGAAGCTCGAAGTACTGATGAGAAGCAGGCGGACGCCACGGCCTCCCCCTCCCCGAAGGTGACCTGCTTCCAATGCGGGCAGGAGGGCCACTTCCGGAGAGACTGCCCGATGATGGATTGCACGTTCGGACAACTCTCCTTGAAGAAAGCCCTGAGGCAGGAGGTAAGTCACGGACGGATAATGCAGAAGGTACAGCTGAATGGGAGGATGGTCGAGGCGATGCTAGACTCGGGGTGTGGGCAAACTTTGATTCGCGCCGACTCCCTAGAGATAGGGGTGCGCTGTGGCCGCCCGGTATGGATCCGGTGCCTACACGGAGATACTCGTGCTTACCCGACTACATGGGTGGTCCTGCATGATGGGCAACTGGGAAGGCTCCTATGGGTGGCGGTAGCTGACTGGTTGCCATACCCCGTCTTGTTGGGGAGGGATTGGCCGGGATTTCGCCAGCTCTTACAGGAAAAAAATGAAACCCCTGGGGGACGAAGCAAGTCAGTCTGGGTGGCCCAGAAGGAAGAAAGCTCCAGCCGATCACCGCCTGGCAGCAGAGAGACCGAGCGGCAAGGGCCCCCCCACGGCGCTGGAGCCAGACATGGGGGACTTTATGGTACTACAACGGGAGGATCCGACGCTCCAGCATGCGTGGGAGAACGCCCGGGTAACGACGGGGGAAGGGGATGGGGAGAACAGGCCACCCGAACAAGGACCGTACTTTGAAGTCCAGGGTGGCAGACTATACCGGGTCCAGAGGGGGAATGAACAACAAGGGGAAGAGGTCCAATTGGTCGTGCCTAAGGCCTACCAGTGGAGGATGATGGAGTTGGCGCATGAAAACCCTTGGGCAGGGCACCTAGGCGTGGAGAAGACCCAACAACGGGTATTACAACGGTTCTATTGGCCGGGGATATACCAGGACATCAAGAACTTTTGTGCCTCCTGCCCCCAGTGCCAACTAACTTCGGGGGGGAGGGTGCCCCGGGCCGCCTTGGTGCCCCTTCCGCTGGTTGAGGAGCCCTTCGAGTGGGTGGGGTTAGACCTCGTGGGGCCCCTAGAGCGGACACGAAGATGGCACCAGTACATCCTGGTAGTGGTGGACTACACCACACGTTACCCTGACGCAGTGCCCCTCCGTAAGACCACAGCCTCTGCGATAGCCGATGAATTAATGAAAATGTTTGCCCGAGTCGGTCTCCCGAAAGAGATTTTAACCGACCAAGGCCCGAACCTGGTATCACGGTTGATGGTCGAACTGTGCCAGTGGCTACGGATCAAGAAGATACGGCCCTCAGTATACCACCCGCAGACAGACGGGTTAGTGGAAAGATTTAATCAAACTTTGAAGGCGATGTTACGGAGGTTAGTACAAGACGATCCTTGGGGCCCCGGGGCCGGGCGCACCGGGACGGAGAGAGGATTGAGCCCACCACCGGCAGGGTCGTTAGGCCCAGGGAGGGTCGCGGAGCCCGTGAGCAGGCAAGTTTAGGGGCAAACCCCCACCTGCTTCCACCGGGAGTCGAGCTCCTGGTGTTAGGGCCCTGGGCCGGGGTCCGGGAATGAGGGAGGGCCCGGACCCCACCCTGCCCGCGGCGGTCATCGCAGCGCCCCAAATCACTTCAGAACAGCACTGACTAGACCCACGCAGGCTAGACGTGACATGCGTCTCATTAAGTATGCAAATGAGATGTGTCGATATTCATCACGGTGCCTCATTTGCATATGTTCATGAGCGAGAGAGCGCAATGTAGACATAGCCTCGGTGATAGAGAAAGAACTCAGTGTATGTGACGGGGTTGCCCAGCTCAATAAAGGAGAGCATGCAGACCACAGGTTGTACAATCAACTTGGCGGCCCAGATTGGTGACTGCAGGCAGACACACTGGACCCATCCAGCTTGGCTTCTTCTGCTCTCTCTACACAACTCTTCACATGCGTGAGCGTATGAATGTGCATGTGTGAAGGAGTTCCATTCCCTTTTCACTTGATCCAATAGCAGCACTGAATAAATCACTATGGTTGGTCTCCAGTGAAATTAGGTAACACATGCACCCCCGCCTCCCTGGCCCCGGAGCATGAGGAGTGCGGGTAGGCACACAGGCCCTAGCTTCTCCAGCCCCAGAGCAAGGGGAGGGCAGACAGCGCATAGCTCCAGCCTCCCCAGCCCCATAACATGGAGAGGGAAGAGGACCCACATCTCTAGCCATTGCAGAGCACAGGGAGGGCAGGCACAGAAAGGCAGCAACACTCCACTCCCAGAATGCCAGCAGTAAGTTCCTGGGGGCGGCATGTGGGTGGAGCCAGGCTGACAGTTTGGGAAGTCTGTGCCTTCCCCTCACCTATTATACTGGATGCCCATGGGCTATGGATATCATTTCTACCTATCCTGGCTTATAGCAATTAATGGACCCAGCCTCCATCAATTTATTTAGCTCTTTTTTTAACCCTATTATAGTCTTGGACTTCACAGCATCCTCTGGCAAGAAGTTCCACATGTTGACTGTGGGTTGGGTGAAGTGATTCTTCCTTTTGTTTGTTTTAAACCTGCCACCTATTAATTTAATTTGGTGCCCCCTAGTTCCTTTGTTATGGGATGGAGTAATAACTCTTTTTTATTCACTTTTTCCACACCAGTCATGATTTTGTAGACCTCTATCATATCCCCCTTAGTCGTCTCATTTCCAAGAGCTTCTAAGGTGGGAAATTAGACTAGATGTCCTTACTTGTATAATTAGGTTATACACACACTAGGGCAACAAGACTTTTATTTTGTGTGTGTAAAACATGATGAACCTCTAAGTTGTTATATAACAGACAGATTTCACTAAATTAGACTTAACAATAACGCAATTCAATTTAAGAGTCTCAATACTGGGATTTTTAAAAAAATACAGCTCAAATCAAAATCCCCAGTCAGTAACTTAACAACTACTGCAATAAGGGTAGACACATTTGTCAGTGTTTCTGATGTTTCACTCCACCATTGTACCGTTTTGCCAAGTAATAGATCTCTGCTGACTCTTTCCGGCTGGACTGAGGCTTTATCGTTCTCACATCCTGGAAATTCTCCTTCAGTCTGTTTTGGAGGAGATGGGTTTCCCGTCCATCCCAGAACTTACAGAGGATGGTTCCGCTTGGCCGTAAGATAATTTTGGACAAATCCAAAAGAGACAAGCACAAGTTAATCAACTTCTGATGATCTAGCTCCCGTACCCCAGAGGCATTAGGTGCCATGTCACTCAAGATAACATCTGCTTTCTCTGTAGGAAGAAGTTCTTGAATCTTCTTAAGTGTGACTGAATCTGTAATATCAGCATTGGAAAGGAAGACTGCTCCTTCCAGAGGGGAAATACGAAGAAGGTCCACTCCAAGGACAAAACCAACAGGGACATTAGGGTCTAGAAAACAAAGAGTTAATGTAAGAAAGGAAGACACAAGACACCTCCCTACCTTCAAATTAATCATTCTCATTGCAAGAGTTTCCCCAGAGTTCAATACACAAACCTACACCACATTCTGACAAAGTGCCATCTAGCCCTCCTATAACTAGAATGTTCATCTGTTATGCTCATCTCACTCTCATTATTTTTAGGAAATAAAATAAAGCAAGCTTTCTTTAAAGATCGATATTCCAGAAAACCTCTTCATCCATTTCTACCCAGTGCATCAACAGTAAGGCTGTGCTGAGGTCATCCAATAAGAACAGTACTTGTCCCTATTATATAACCTCTTACAAACATTAATGAATTAAAACACAATATCCCTAGGAGGTCACTGTTACCACCATTTTTACAGAAAAGAAATTAACATACAGAGAAGCTAAGATTCTTGCTTGGAATTACCTATTAAACGCTGGTCTCTGAGTAGTGGATTTACTACAGCAATCAAACAACCTCTTCCATCACTGTAGTAAGTTTCTACAGTACAGCATGTTTCTAGCATAAACATACCTTTAAAGCTAGCGGCAGAGATGGGGACAGACCTCTCCTCCTCCATGCCCAGCCCTTTCCTTTAACCTTTAGCTAATATCCTCAGGCTGTGTCTACACTGGGCCACTTATTCCGGAAAAGCAGCTGCTTTTCTGGAATAACTTGCCAGCTGTCTACACTGGCCGCTTGCTTTTCTGGAAAAGCAATGACGATCTACTGTAAAATTGTCAGTGTTTTTCCGGAAAAACTATGCTGCTCCTGTTCGGGCAAAAGTCCTTTTCCGGAAAAACTGTTCAGGAAAAGGGCCAGTGTAGACAGCACAGTAGTCTTTTCCGCAAAAAAGCCCCGATCACGAAAATGACGATCGGGGCTTTTTTGCAGAAAAGTGCGTCTACATTGGCCACGGACGCTTTTCCGGAAAAAGTGCTTTTCCAGAAAAGCATCCTGCCA